GTGTGCGCACGCTGACCTGTACGGCAAACAGGTTTTCTACTGTACAAATAACTGTACAATATCGCTGTATATTTGTACTGTTATTTGGACGGTAGTCGCGGCAGTTGGATGATAATATTCGTTATTTAATATTTTTTTTCACGTTAAAACTGTGGCTCGCATGACTCGCACTCTGGCTCGCATGGCTCGCACCCTGGCTCGCATGACTCGCATGGCTCGCTGGCTCGCACATTAGGCAGACCCGATGTTTACACTATTTCCAGCCGCCATATTGGTTGACCACGAAGGTAATCCAACACGGCCTTTCCATACTGTAGGCTCCGTAAATTTCTGCGAAACATTTATACGAATGTCTTAAGTTTGGGACAACGCAAAGACCTAACCCTAGGAAAAATAATGACCTTCTTTATCTATTTCTTGACTTTATTCACTAGTACTGTATGGTGTTTTATTTTTTTTTTTTTTATTGCGTGACATTGAAAACGTCGACCTTTGTATTTTTCCCGTGATAGATACGATGTAGATTCCTTCGCATTAACGGCTGCGAAAGAGACTACGCGATAGATTAATCAATTTTGAAAACATGAAGCATTCATGAACTCGCCAAACCATAAGCCCAGATCCGCGCGTGGTGTAAGTTGTTTGTAACAATTCTGTGACAATTTCAGAAACAGATCGCCCCTTTCAAATTTAAGTTTACTGAACTTGATGTCGCAATACATGTAGGAGACTTCAGCCATTTATCAATCTCTTAAGAATTACGAAATCCTGAAAAATAGTCCGAATTACTCATATTGAAACTTAGAAAACTTTGACAAAGAAAGCATTCGTTACAGTGGTCTAGATTTCTCGACACCTCAATTCTTCGAAACTCAACTCAGCGAACCAATTTATTATTAGTCTTTTCCTTCCCCTAATAGTTGCTAGAAGTGCAAAGCTGTCATTTTAACACTTTTTTTTTTATAAGTAGATAAGTCCCAAGCTGTCATTTTAAACCATTTATTGATAGTGTGACACATTAACCATGCAGAGGTAATCATTTTAACTTTTGGTATTTTGATATAGCGTCGGAATATGTCAGGCGCCAGTATGTCAGACGCCCCTATTTGTCAGGTAGCGTTACCAACCTTAGTACCCGGCCTTAGTAGAACAAGACGCCTGTTGGGCGTACACTCCGGCCATTTTAGGGGTATGTAGGTTTCGCGTTTGAGATCGATGTTGGGGGGTTGATTTATGCCAAAATGATATGTATGTATGCTTTAGAATAAACAATGGGCTGTTGGGCATT